CTAACATGTCAATAATAGAATGATTTTTTAAAAACCCTGGTATGACATAATATAAAATGTCGTAAAAAGTTAATATTTCACATTGTATAAAATAATTAAAAGCTAAAACTCTATTATTATTACTTAGTAAAACGTTATTAAAAATGGGTTGGATTGCAATATCATTTAGAAGGGTGGGGTCTGGTCTTGACCTACTATTCAAGTCATCCCAGGCTAATAACAGGTTATGATAAAAAGGCGGCAGAACACTTAAAAGTTTAAAATTAAAATGGATTTTAAAAATGTCTTTATCAAGGCCAAAAGGGCCATACAGATTTAAAAAATAGGACATAGTATATTTCCATATATTAAGATTATCAGGGTTAAAATAGGGTTTAAGCCATTTTAAAAGCAGAGATTGTCCCTTTAATTTAATGTCTACTAACCCCATGCCTCCACAGGATTTGTCTGATGTCATGACGTCATATTTTATTAAGGGAGGTTTGCCACTCCATAAAAACTTTAAAATTAACTTCTTTAGTTGTTGTTGAATATGGTCAGGCATGGGGATAATAGACATTGTATAATAAAATTTAGACATTAGCAATGTATTAATGACAGTGACTTTGCCTAATAAGGTTAAATTTCTCTTATGCCACAAGTTTAATATTATTTGCACTTTATTAATCTTATGTTCCCAATTATTCTTTATACATTCCTTTATATTGTGTCCAAAATAAACACCCAGAATTAAGCCAGGAATCCTAACCGCTAGACCATATCGGAGCGCTGAGTACCAGTCCATTTTTCACAGCCAGAAACCTACTTTCCATTGAGTGGTGCGAATTTTGAGTTCGCACCGTACGCGAGCATGGAAAAAGAGAGAAAAAGATATCTGTGCATCGACCGGGAATCGAACCCGGGTCACCCGCGTGGCAGGCGAGTATTCTACCACTAGACCACCGATGCGGACATCTTCGTAGGCTCTGGAACTCAAGAGAATCACGCATTGATGTAGAAATCGTGCAAATTGGGG